TTCGCAAGAACATATTCTCATATTCTACGGGAATTTTTTTGTCGTCTTACTACATTGAATGTACACGACAATTTTTGAATAGACGTCCATGGCCGTCTATTCAAAAATTGTCGTGTACATTCAATGTAGTAAGACGACAAAAAAATTCCCGTAGAATATGAGAATATGTTCTTGCGAAAATATTTTGTTGATGAATTTCCTGGCAACGGTGTTATTGGACATTTTCCAGCACTGAAGATGAATTTCATATCAGACTGGTAGGGAAGCCCTGTTCAAACTCACTTGCACTGCCTTGCGATGTGACTGATTAAAGGGCATCTGACCCAAAAATAAACGGTGTTATTTTTTAGTCTAATTTGAAAAATCATTGAAAACTGTACAGTGACTTCTTTGACAGATTTTTGTTTTCTTGCTTAGTTTTGGAGATATTTCATTTTGTATATGCAAAGGACCAACTTCCTACGTCACATATGCATAATGATTTAGCCCTGGCTAAAAGCTGTATATCTTCAATACGACTACATGGGTGTTGTTGTGGACAAATCTCGTGCTCATCATTCATTTTGAGCGAACTTATTTGATAGTGATAAAATTATATAACATTTTAAAGTAAGTCATTATATGCATGTGTGATCTTTCAACTAAAAAATAACACCGTCAATTTTCGAGTTATATTTAATAATTTTAAACGATTCGCAAGTGCACGCTGTACGCAATGCAAATGGGCCAGGGTAGGCATAGGCAGCCCAGCAAATATATGTACTCACATAATAATGCGTCAAGCGCTTAAAAATTGTATAACGTTTGTCTGACTTTGCTACCAAGCGATTTATTGTGTAGTCATTATGTATGCAGATTCTTTGCATTGTCATTATTGTCATATAGTATATGACATTATAAAATAACATGTATATAACGCGTGTTCTGATTAGTCGAAACCCGTATTTGGATCAGGCCATCCAAACACGGAAACCATAAAGTAATTGTATAATACAATATTGTCATATAGTATATGACAATACAATGATGTAAACATGCGAATCTGCATCCATATTGCATACATAATGCATGAGCTACACAATAAATGGCATAAACCGCTTGGTAGCAAAATCAGAACTTTAAACTCATTTTTAAGCTGGCTGGACTGCCTATCAAATATGGTATAGGCGTAATACACTGTAAATGCTAGGGGTAAGGGTTGTATATTCAGTTTATATGAGAAATGGTCATGAAAATTAAAAGTTGCTTGGACTCGGTCTTTGTGTTCAAACATATCAAGAATGTTTGCAAGTTTGAAAAAATGTGATGAAGTTTGAACCAGCCAAATCATTTGTAGTTGAGCAATCAAACAAGGCAGAATCAAGCAGTGTGCAAGTCAAAACTAGCGATTATTTGCGTTCTTGTTTCACTAAATGTTGATGGTATTAACTCTTAACTACTTTTCAACTTCTTTTGTGGTCAAACGGTAGCTAGTTAATAGTCTTAGTACTAAAACATGTAATTCTTATTCGTTATCTTCAACTACTTCTTTTTGCAATTGGCCTCAGGCATTTGCAAAATAGTGGCCAGCCTCTCTAAAACAATGGTACACTTAGATGAACTCTATTTTAGTAACAGTGGACCGGAGAGTATTAAATTCAAGAGCTGTCAGTTTCATAGAGCTCACTACAGTTAAATGCTTATGCAGAATAAACTTCTCAAATCTAAATGGAAGCTGGTAGCTTGGAACCAGGCAAATCTTACTGTAATCACAGTAAAAAAATCAATATGTGTAAAACATCTGTATGTGTAAAAATCTGTAATTACATATTGACAAAAGTCTGTAAAAATATTAGCATTGGGAAATGGTAATACACTAATACTAACTGTAAATGCATGATCAAATAAACGCCTGAGGCAATTATTACAAAACAAGTGTGTAACTCCAAAGACTGATAACATTAAGGGTGCACTGGAACCAATTTTTTAAGTTCTGGCCAGAACCGGATCAGGCTGTTGCGATATTTGAAAAAAATCGAAAACCGATAGGCGATACAGGAAAAAATACCGATGATTTTTCGCAATATTTTTCTGTTTTCAAATTACGTCAAAAAGCAGCAATATAACAAGAGAAATGTCCGCTTTGGGAATTGAAAATGCGTATATTTGCATCCGCACTCAGAATAAATTATCCACACTCAGCATGAATCATGTGTTATATTTTTGGCTGGAAAATATGTTTCAAAACATGTTATTCAACTGCAAATTCAAAACAAAGATGGTCATATCTCACCAGATAAATAATGTCCAATGAGGTTAGTTTTTTTTTTAAATATTTGTAATCCAGCGTTCTACATTCTAAAAGTTCACTTTTTGAGAAGCAAAATGACATATTACACCTTGCAACGACAATATAAACAAACATGTTTAGCTCTCGCTGTAATCCTTTTTACGGATTTTCCCGCAGAGTTAGCATATTGATTCAGTGGTGGATCCAGCAAAGTTTTTTTTTTTTGGGGGGGGGGGGGG